GAAGTCAAGATAAACATAGTGTCAGAGGGCTTTGTAATAGCACAGTTGAAAGACTTCAAGATTCATTTTTCTTTCAGGTCATTGTTGTACAAGGCTTAATTGACAAATAATGACAAGCTCCACCCTTCTCTATAAGTCTCTAGGCAACTTTTTCCGGGAATGTTATAACTTGAGACATATATTTTAAATATCTCTCTCTCTCTCTCTCTCTCTCTCTCTCTCTCTCTCTCTCTCTCTCTCTCCCTCTGTGTGTGTGTGTGTGTGTGTGTGTGTGTGTGTGTGTGTGTGTGAAAACTACCAAGCTGTTTGATGCAATATATGTTTCTGCATCAAGTATGTCTGCAGAACTGTGGGAAGGCAGAAGATGAAGCCAAGGAAGGAGCCGTGCAGCAGAGCATACACAAACAGGAGGCCACTTGGCTTCCTGCCATGATACATGACATTCAATTATTTTAGTCCTTTTTCATGAGAGTCTCTCTCTCTCACCAGCTCCTCCCCCGCTCTACAGGCCATTGCTTTTCTACATTTGGCATACTTCTCCTGATTCAGCATACATGAAGGTCCTGAAAACCCAAGCTTTACTATAAGCCCAGAACTCTCTCTGAAATAAGAAAGTGCTAAAACTAAAACTTTTGGAGTCTTCTCTCGACATGCCCACTATTAATAAACAAACATGATGTTTCATTTAATGAGTTGAGAAAGAAACTAGAGTGGTCCACATGTTGCCTTTTCTACGGCTTTGATGTAAATAAAAATATCTTCCCTTTCCCAAAATGCATTGGCATAGGGAAGAACACTCAAAGCAGCTTTTATTCCGTGAAATGGTATAAAATGAATGAATCTGCCCTATAAGGTCAATCACTCATAGGAACATTCTAATTAGGTTCTCCCTAAGGGGAGTGTAAAATAACCATATCAATGGAATTTTTGAATATTTTTAGCTCATATATTTATTCTGATTTTTATTCCTCAAAAGGAAACCAAGTACAGAAAACTTCATAAATAACCAAACTGTATTTATATATAGGAGGCTGCCAGGTTGAAAAAAAGCAACAATAAGCTTTACAGGAATAATGCTAGCTGTGACTTCAGAAGGGAGTAGCAGTCATCTTCACAGAATACCCTCTCCATGTTTTTACCATCACATGGTGCCAGAGGAAGGATCTCCTTTACTCCAACACATCTTAATGACTGGAGGAGAGAACAGCCAAGATTTTCACCCCAAATAGTCTCCTTAACTCCCTTCATCTCTTTGCTTTCTTTCCTTTTTACATTCCACCCTGAAATCCTCCACGGGTGCTGAGGCTTCCTCCAGGGCTCTGAAACTTCCAGGGATCTAAAAGTGCTGGAATCCTGGGGTGTCCAGGATATTCCCAGGCTTAAAAAGAAAAACAATGGTCCCCCATCTCTGTTGATATCCTACCCTCAAAACTCAAAGGTGAAGGAAGCAGATGAGAGAAAGAAGCCCAGAAGCCTATTTCTGATTGACTTGTTGGATGACGTGAAAAGAAGCAAGGTGTGTGTATCCCGAGTTCCCAGCAGAGTACAAGTTGTGAATGTGCAAGGAAGTGTGAGGAAAATGCAAAAGTGAAATAGGAACCTGGAAATGACAGCCTGGGGCTGAAGAGGAATAAAAAAGTAAGTAAGTAAGTACATAAATAAATAAAGCCACCTAAATCCTGACATAATTAGCTGGTTCCTCCTTCCCAGGCATCACTGACATTGGGTGGTTTGAATCAGGGAGAGATGGCAGGGGGGCAAAGACTAGAAGAAGGCAACTTTGAAAGCCAGTAAGCACCCATGCTGGATCTCATTTGATAAGTGAGAACATTTACCAAAGGGCTTTTCAATCTATTTCCAACATTATCTCCCCAAACATCAGACAGACAGACGTAGCACAGGTGAAATGACCTCCTCTTTTATTTCGCCTTCTTGTGACTTCCAAAAACCACTCAGTTATCATTGCTTTAATTGGTATTTAAAATTCAATGTCAATGCCCTGATGGCTAGGGCTGTGTCACTTCTGTAAACTCTATCTCAGCCTCTCAAGATCGAGTTAATGCAGCTCTTGGCAACCGAAGACTCAGCTCCTTGCCAAAAACTGCAGATTACGCATTCGTTATGGGAGTTTGCCATTAACGGTTCCCCCTGTTACGGGGGGCATGTGTGGTTGCATGTCACAAAACAGAAGGGGTTCCGTGTAATAGATTTGAATTTCCAAGGGGTTTCGGGGATCTGGTGTGGGTGGGTGACACCTTTACCCCACCCCTTCAACCACTTCAATCACGAAGTCATTGGATTTGGGGAATGGCGTGGAAAAGGCTTCCGTAGGCACCGGTTGACCTGGCCTACCGGGCAGTTTTCTCCTTTTCGGACCTCTATGGGTACACAAGTCCTGGAGAGACTTGTATCGTATGTCTTTGATTTAAAAGACACCGAATGTTTTTCAGGGAATTTGGAGCTCCTAAAATGCGTATTTATAAACAGACTGACATAGCTCTCCGATAGAGCTAAGTTTACAACTAGGAATTCTCGGCATAGTTCTTCATCAAGTCACAGGAGCGCTGGCTGCTGTGACAATTTCAAAGACCCATCAAACGTCGTCTATCGTCTTTCCCGAGTTTATTGGGGTAAAGCGTACTTTCAAAATACCTAGAGGTAAGATAGATTAAAAAGGGAGAGGTGAGATCTTGAAAAATCACCAAGCCAACCCAGAGTGAGAGGCTAACTCAATCTACCTCCCCCAGGAGGAATAATCTGATTGAGGGTCGGTGGGAAGAGTACAGCATCTCTTATTTGTAAACAAGACCTCCCGCAAGCGTTTCGGAGGGAGGGGGGCTTCCCTCCCCCCACTTCCATCCCTCTCCAGCTAAGGTGAAGCAAGCTTGGCCTCAATCGAGAACTTAATAGAACCAGTTAAATGGCAGCGTCAACTCCTGGGAACACGAGCCGCTTCTTGGGATGACTGTCTGTGGTGGACCGCGGGCATGGCGAACACGAACGTGGCTGCTGCTCCTGACCCTCCTGCTCCGGTCCTGTCCATGGAATCTGCATTTGCCTTGCCAGCAATGCCTTGGCGACCGTTCTGGTGTGCTCTGTGCTTGGAATCTTTCTTCCCAAGCTTGGCCAGGTTGGGCATCCCAGAGGGTCTCACCTGTGAGGCAGCGTGAGTCAGAGGGACCCCCGAAGAACGTGGAAATGTCCGAGCCTTACTGACAGACAGTCGTCTGAACTGGGCGAGGCCACCCGCTGCAACCCGATGTGTCTAAGGCTCTGGTGTAATTGCCAATGCAACCCGGAAAAAAGTGACAGCCGCTGGGAAGGCCTGGGATGAGAAAGGCTACTTCAGGACCGGTGAACAGAGACCTCCCTCGTCCACAATTTGTAGGGGGGTTGACCAGATTTGCAAGCTTGGGTGATCTCTTGCAAATGGCTGCTTGGATGTGCCCAAGGCAATGAACCCTTTTTTCCCCCAGATGCCTCGGTCTCCTCAGAACCTGAAGTCGGGCACAAGGCCAAACAGAATGGTTTTCAGCTCTAAAAGTGCTGTTTTTACCCGCCCTAGCATCTCCTTCAGCTGGGCTAAAGGTTCTAGGCCCGCAAAGGCAACCGCGAGTTCAACCCCACTCCTGGGGAACCACCGGCTTCTCCATCACCCTTTACAAAGGCGCTGCCCCGACTCTGGAAAACTGCAAGCACTAATGCTGTTCTTAAAACACTCCGAAGGCCTTCACCCCCTCCACCCCCCACCCCCAACACACACTACCACTACCACCCCACACGCTACTTTGTGTGATGAGCCTTCCTCTGATCTCCAGTTAAGAACCGGCTTTGGGGTTGGCACTGTCCTTGTGAATTTTCTAAAGACATCATGTTGCTCTCATGATGAACGCGAGGACCTAGGGCAGAGGTGGGGGAATACTGGCTGGCATTGGTAAAATTAGATCTTTTCAAGGACGCTTGCTCAACCCCCCACCCCCCCATCCCCATCCAGTGCCACCACCGCTACATCCACAGGCCACTGCATCCCACAGCCAACGCGAAGAAGACCGAGGGCCTGGGCGAGCGAGCGCTTGGGCCGCCCGCCGCGACGCCAGCCTTTTAGGTTGGAAGCAACCTCGGGCCCCTCTACCACCACCAGCCACCCAGTTAACAGCTGCCGCTGTATCCGGCGTCCTGGGCTCAGATTAATGTGGATCTTCCACGTAAACGATTTACGGATGAAATAAAAGCTCTTTAGAGCAATACTTCCTTTCAAGTTCTTAAGATGCCTCTAAATCTTCTGGGAGTGAGTGGCTGGCGTGGGGGCGGGGTGGACAGCGGGTGTTGGGGGTAGTGGGGGGGGGAGAGAAGGTGGGGATGGGAGGTGGGGGGGGGGGATGACCCAGCAGGGCGCTGGGAGTGGAGGGTTAACCACTTTGCGTTCTCACCAGGCTCCTCCGCCGGGCCATGCCAGTCCACAGTGGAGACGGTTACGGTTTTTCTGGGTTGTCGGGGCCTTGTCCGTCTCTCTTGGCATTTGTCTGAAATGGAACTGTCTGTCTGAACTAGGCCCGGGGCCTCGCCCTGCCCGGGGTGGGTGAGTAGGGAAGATGGGGGTGGGGTGGAGTGAGTGTGGGGTGGTGGTGGGGGGAGGAGACGGGGGGCGCGCGCGCGCGCGGGGGTGGAGTGGGGGTTTAGGGGGAAGAGAACCTGGGGTGGAGTTAGTCCCTGCCCATTTTCATATTCATTAGGACGGGGAGGTTGCCGGAGGAGCCCAGCTGAGTTTCAAGATATAAAAGCAAACTTCGGGTGCCCCTTCTGCAGCCGGGACGTTATTAAGAGGCAGGGAGCGAGCGGGGCAGCTCCGGGAGTCGTCGTCCCCGTCGTCTCGGGACTGGCTTCCCATTTCCCTCCTCTCTGACCCTCCCTCCTCCCGCCCACTGGTCCCTCCTCCCTCCGCGCCCTCCAGCCTCCTCCATCCAGCGCCCCGGGAGCTCGGCGGCGGCGGCGGCGGCGGCGGCGGCGGCGGGACAGCCTTCCAGGATTATGGAGTTCCTGAGTGAGAAGTTCGCCCTGAAGAGCCCGCCAAGCAAGAACAGCGACTTTTACATGGGCACGGGAGGCGCCTTGGAGCACGTTATGGAGACGCTGGACAATGAGTCCTTTTACGGCAAAGCCCCGGCTGGCAAATGCGTGCAGGCCTTCGGGCCGCTGCCGCGAGCCGAGCATCACGTGCGCCTAGACAGGACCTCGCCCTGTCAAGACAGCAGCGGTAAGTCACCCGGACCCAGGCCCGGCTCCAGCCCCAACCCCCATCCTTATCCTTATTTCCCGACGGGCCCGGACCCGGCTCTAACCTTAGCCCCAGCCAGCTTCAGTTGTCCCTTCCCCGAAGTGAAGTGCGATGCGGGTCGGAGTGAAGAAACGTGGGAACGGGGATCCAGACTGTAGGGGAGACCGAGGGAGGCAGCCTGGGGGCCCCAGCACTTACTCTCTCCTGCTTTGGGAACGCCTGCAACCGACCGGGGTCCAGGGCTCAATCTTGCGTGATGCTATTTTGCTCTCCTGGAGAATCCACAACTGGACAGCACCAGGACCCCAGTGTAGGCTAATAGGGCGCTAAATAGATCCTAATTGAGTCAAGATAGCGCGCCTCGGTTGTGAACCCGCCCCCGCCGGGACGCCAGGGCGCACGGACGAGAAATCCATCACTGGATGTTAACAGTGATCAGGAAACCCAAAATCTTTCGAGTTCCTTTGGGGGTGGGTGTGGGGGGCAATAACAAAACTGTTTTTGCTGTCCAAGTCGTGACGACGGTGTGTAAAGACGGTGTGTTTCTGTTGTTCTGTATTAGCTTGTGTGAATTTGTGATTTCTGCGGATTTTATTTACTTACTCATTGCGTTTGCAAGCGGCAAACACACGTTCTTGTTAAACATCAAATCGCGTTGGCTTTGTGCAAAGCATTCCCGATAAAATCACTCACTTTCGGATTCTGCGTTGTCTACTTTTATCTTAACTCCACATAAAAATGCCACCTAAAGAGGCTTTCGGAATGCTTCTGGACAGAATCTTCAACTGTGAATGCCAGCGTATCTCCAAGTCAAAATGTTATCAAAACAAACCATCTATCTTTTTCGATCTCGTAGCCCAAGCACAAACCTATCATTTCACATCCCGACAGCTAAAGCAGGTTTATGATTCCAAGAGGACTTTTCCTTATCATAGTGTATATGCCACCCTTAAGCTGTAAGGAGCGGGCTGCGTTAAAATAACAAACGAATTAAGTGTGAAATATTTACAACAAGCCTCCGCCCCCTATTTTAATGGAACTTCAGATTTTTCAAATGGAAGTTTATTCTTTCGCGAGCTCATTTGCTCGATATTGCGTACATAGATTTTAAATGAAACTCATATTCTACTAATTTTATTCAGTGCGGAGGGTGACTTTTAACTTGTTCGGTTACAACCCCCAAAAAAAATGCACATGGTAGAGGAAATTATTGTTTAAGTGATTCAATCGTTTATTTGGAAAGACTGGAACAGCTAATTTTTACATGCAAGAAACTTTTGGCGTCCTGGCTGCATTTCGGCAGGCGCATCTGTGTTTTCGGCCTTCTCAGATGCATGCACGAAGTTATTTGAACTGACAGGATTTTTCCAAATGGTTCTGTGGTGGCCTGCGCGGACTGCTAGATAAACTCCACCGTGTTTTTAATTGTCGGGGAAAGGGGAGAGAGAAGTGGTGATTGATTTGGAGTGCTTCATTAATTTTTAAGCGATCATCTCACTGTTGGGGAGAATTTTAACGGAGACACGTTGAATAGAATGAACACGGATGGTGGCCGGGCTACATTTGAGAAAAAAGTCCGTCTTTCTCCAGACCTGCCCCCAGCGTCTTTGCGGCTTCCCCTCCCCCACCCCTAATTGCCGCAGTTCCCGGTTTAACTCTTGTCTGCTAAGACAAAACCTTTTTGTTCATCAGTCATAGCCCTCTTCATAGTTAATTTTACATCCCATCTTCCCTTTGCATAAGACCAATGTGCAATTGAAATTATACAGACAGCAAAATTCAGTACATTTGTAGCACACATGAAAAGGTTCTTCAAGCTGTTATGGGGAATCCCACTCCCCACCCACCCAACCCCCACCCCCTTTTAAAGAAACAAATGGAAAAAAAGTAGGCTCATTCGTTGGGAATTAGTGTTCTGGTTGGACTGCCTTTGTTTTCCTTACAAGACCTCCACAACAACCCAAACCCCCGAATCGCTCCTGCTTTTTTAAGGTCACTGTAATTTTTAATGATACAGTTAGTTTCTTGCTATAGTGCAAGCTTGAACTCCGATCTCAAGAACATCATTGAGACTGAAAAAACTCCTGACAGAACTCAGAACGCCGCTTTCCTTCATTTGTTTGTGTGATTTTCATTTCTGAGCGCTCCTAGAGAAAACAGAAAAACTTTCTGACCTACGCAGATAGGAGTGAAGTAGTCAAGGGCTGCGAGACATTTTTAGTGTAAAGAAGTTCACTTCAGTCTTATACCTTTCTATTAAAGAGCAAATCCAGAACGTGGTAAGAATTTTTTAAAAAATTAGTTGGTCGCTTTCTGAAGGAAGTTTAAATTCAAACACGAGCTCAAATATGTGAAATGTAATGGTAATCATATCCCATTGAAATCTCTGCTCAGCATCAATTTGTGGAGGGTGGGAGATAGATTTAATATTGGTAGATAGGTCCTATTTAAACTTGAAATGGCACGTTTTTGAAAACCAGAAGGAGTTTAATTTTGTCTTATGTACAAAATAAAAGTATATGCTATATGAATTTTGTACATATTTTAAAAGTCATGGTTATTTAGATTTTTTTTTTTTAGTCTGGAGCAAATTTTCACTTGACTATTTTAATTAGATTATAAATCATATGCATAAACAGTACATTTGCCATATAAAACAAACCTGTGCACTTGAGCAAATCATGAGTCCATGCACACATTTTTTAAAACTTTTTTAAGCCTGGTCAACATTGAATTAATAATTATGCACTGCACATAATGTGATGATGGAATACTGGTAAAATAAATTATTAGCAGACCTATTTCCTGATGCTCTAAATTACTTCACATTAGTTATTTCATCAAAGTATGCTTCACCATCCTGAGTACTGCTCTTTTTCCCTTCTGAGTGCAGTGAACTATGGAATCACCAAAGTGGAAGGACAGCCCCTTCACACCGAGCTTAATCGAGCAATGGACAGCTGCAACAATCTCAGGATGTCTCCTGTGAAAGGGATGCCAGAGAAGGGGGAACTGGACGAACTTGGGGACAAATGTGACAGCAATGTGTCCAGCAGCAAAAAAAGGAGACACAGAACAACATTCACCAGTTTGCAGCTCGAGGAACTAGAAAAGGTCTTCCAAAAAACCCATTACCCGGATGTGTATGTCAGAGAGCAGCTTGCACTGAGAACAGAGCTCACTGAGGCCAGGGTCCAGGTAGGTTCCGAAAGATGGCCTTTCAAGGAGGGATAATATTAGAATAAGCAAATACTTGAATACTTGTGATTTGTCAAAAAGGAAGAAATGTTTTCAGCTATGAAATCTTACTTGTACCAACGTAACTTGTGAGCGAATTGGCCCATTAAAATTTCTTTTTACTTGTAATAATTTTGACCACTCACTAAGTCAAGCTTAGGAAAAAGAGTGATCTCAGAAACTTAATAATGAAAGTCATTAAAAAGAACAGAGTATAATTGCATATCTCTGATTAAAACAATCTTAAAGGGTGAAAAAACAAATTTCATAGTTACCTTTAGTTAATAAATAAATATATTAATTTATCTCTTTGGTATATTTTCAACTATTATGGTTTTAATTTTAAATTATATGAATTATTTGCAAATTATTTATATACTAGCTCATAAATATATAGCTTTATTTAGGTTGGAATTATTGTAATGGGAAAAATGAGATAATAATACTCTTAATAGCTATGTATACCATAAGATATTTTCCCTAATAAAATTTAAAAAACATAGAATGGCTCGTTTAGAATTCCACAACCATTTTCAATACATATCATTTCATTTTACATTTTAAGGTCTAGATAACAGTACAATTTTTTTTCAGAGTAATTATTAAACAATGCAATTTAAATAACTTTTATGTACTTGATTGCATTTATAAACTGTTTAGTCAAATTACTAAACCAGAAGGTTCAGTTAATCTAATTTCTTGTAAAAAGAAAGAAAGAAAGAAAGAAAGAAAGAAAGAAAGAAAGAAAGAAAGAAAGAAAGGAAGAAAGAATTATACCAGACAAAATGTTACCTGCTTTCTCAGCAGTATTTTTATTATGGCTAGAGTTGATATTTTTAAATGACACTTTACTAGTTGTCAAGTAATAAGTACAAATTTGAAAGGCAGCAATAATTCAAAAGACCTTTTTTTCTTTTTATATACTTTTACTGCATGATTGAATTCCCTCTCTCATAAATTACTGTAATAGAAAGATGAATAAATTTTGACTTTTTTTTTCTTTTTTTAATGGAGTTAGTTTTGCTTGTATGGTCCATTTGTCATTATTGACCACATGTGGTGATTCAGGGATGACAGGCAGCAGGTTATGCTCCACATTCTCGAAGCAAATGGTAACTCTGCCATAGTTCAGCAAAAGAATACATAGGGAGCTTGTACTAATGAAGAACGTTAGAATTGCCTCGTATTAACACCAGCCCTGCATGTGTTTTTTTGTCCCGTGACTGTTATTTAAATTAGTTATACTTGTTACCATAGAAAAATATGTTTATATGCAGACTGATCAGCTGTTCACTGCATGTTTCCCTTCAGTTCAGATTCCTATCTCTTTGAGGACATGCAGAGAGAGCCAACCTGACCCGTATTAATTAACTCAGGTTGTTCTCTTTCATGCATTTTTACAGCAGCGTGGAAATCGATGCCCATTTTAAAGAGACCGTCGCAGAGTAGGGGGAGAAGACAGAAAGCATTTATGACATGCAATGTATTCTTTGTGCTTCTCTGTGCTGAATAGAGGAAAATGCTGTTTAAAGACTTGCTGCGATTTCAGAAAACTCTTCAAAGTGTAATATTAAATGTGTAACATGTATGTAGGTCTTGAACTGAATATTGACAGGCAGCAAAAGTTGTGATGGTATAAAACATACAAAATTAGAATTTAGTATTTAAAAATTATACACAAATTTCGAGTAATATTTAGTGAAAATGTTTTTGCAATTTATATTTATTTATACTTAATTTCCAATTTCTTTCTAATCCGTTTAGAATGTCCATATGGTTATGTAAAGAAGATCGACTGATTCCTGAATGCTGCCTAGATGGTGTTTACTCAAAAACATCAAAGCTTTCATTTAAAATATAATTTTCTTTTTCTCTTTTTAAAATACCGCAATATTAGAATTTTAAAAATTCCAAGACCCAGAAATGAGAATTCAGGGTCCCTCTCAGGGATACAGTTATTTGGATGAGGATTCCTAAGATACAATTAGAGAGCTCATGGAAGGCAGTTTAACAACCTAGAAGCAGCAGACTGACTCACAGGCATTCATGGCATCTGGTTCCATCTGCCTCACTTATTTTACTATCGATAAGTGTTTTTGATTGGATATAATAAGTACAGTTATGTGTTTTCAAATCACAGTTTTAATTTCAGGTGACTGCACTTCACCTATCAGCCTTATGATGCTCCACAGAAAATGTCATCTTATTTTCCTGTTTCTAAATAATCAAGGTATTACTGCTACCAGCCATTTTAGCTAAAATATCAATTTTTAACTTCCATAAGATCATTTAAGTATAACTTCATCTCAGAAGAGTCTTCAGTTTAGGACACATTTTCAAGATAATTTGTCAATAGACAAAGATGATAACTGGGTTATGAATTGGCTGGAGGGAAGAAAAGTATGAGATATTGTCTCTCAGGCTCACTAAGTCTATTTAGAGGATAATAACCCATCACAACAAGAATGATCATATGAACAAATTGCCTTTTTTTTGGTTTGTTTTTCACAACTGAAAACACAGACACCTGTACATAAATGGACTTGTCTAAAATCCCGTTCTTTCCGTTAAGTGATGTTACCTCATGGACATACTATGCCTCATATCAAAGTACAAGAGAAAGTCAAACATGTGGGTCCAGTTCTGACGTAAAGAAATTCCTTTGCTGTTACTTTTTTACTGACTTGATTTTCCTTTCTAGCATGAAAAATTTAACGTCAAATTTGCTTTGTGTAATGTTCTTCAGCTAAAATTGTACTCTTTTAAAAAAACACACACACTAGGTTTGGTTTCAAAATCGAAGGGCCAAGTGGAGGAAAAGAGAACGATATGGCCAAATACAGCAAGCTAAAACCCATTTTGCTGCCGCGTATGACATCTCAGTTTTACCAAGGACTGACAGCTACCCACAGGTATGGTCAATGACACAGAGTGCTGCTTTTCAAGGGCAGTGGGTATGGCTTGATTCAGAGGGGGACCTTAGGGTGTCCTGGATCAAGAGTGAAAGTTCAACCTCCAGAAAACTGATTCCATGTTTAACAAATTTTTAATTTACTAAATGATATTTATTTATTTTTTATTATTTTCTTTCACAGTGATTCACTGGAAAAAATATTCCATGGTCTGTACCTTTGGGGTTTGTTATATATTGAAAAAAATAGCATTTAATATGTCTTAATTTTACCATGTATTTTAATTATTCAGGCTATTTTTCTTTATTAGATTAAAAAAATGTGTTGCCTGTCATAAAATCTCTGTGGCCACGATTTTGTGCAACATACAAAATGCTGCTGTTAAATGTGACCTTTTAGTTCTCAGCTCTATTTAAAAACCTCATTCTTTGACCAATCTATTTTTGTCAGATTTGATGTCACTTGTTGTTTTGAGAGCACATTCAATACTTTATAATCTGTAGACATATTTTTTAAAAGTAATCACATATAAGATTTTTTTTAATAATGGGAGCTCTCTAATCACATCTCAAAAAGCATTCATATTTCCTTTCCTCATTTTTGTTTCTTTTGGATCAGTAATGTTTTCTTCTTTTTCACACTTTGTGATATGTGTGCATGTGTTTTCTCATCTTAATATCTATCCTATTATGCCTTAATATAGAATAACGATGTTCTGCACTGCTTTGCTGATGCTTGATAAGGGACATGGGGATTGTCTGGAGCAGGCTGTGTGTTGTTTCATACCTTGTTTCTTGTTGATACATGCGTTGTGAGGTACTGCCATGGAAACACATATGAAATGTATTCTGGATAACTACTTTGGTATTTCAGGAAATAGATCATTTGAGCTCCAAATGTGAGAATAGCCATTCTGCTCAAATGTAAATTCTCACCCTCCATGTGAATTCAGCCCTCCGGTGTAGTTCTTTTCTGGTATTCTTTTGTCTTTAAAATTCCTTGAAAAGAGGTTTTGGGAGCTTCTCTCTTGCATATAGTTGTTTTTTTTTTTAAATTTATCGTGCAATTTTATACATTTGAAAAAGAACGTCAGAGAGTACCAAGTTCAGCTCCCTCACTGTAAAACTTAGGAAGAACAAGTCTAGTTATGTTAAGGAACTGGCCCAGGAACCCATCAATGGTTTCTTACACTGCAGGCATGAGCAACTGCTATGGGTCAGTCTTTCTCCCGCAGGTTTCAAGAGGCCAGAATTATGAAATGATTTGAAACGTTGCCACATTCTTCCATTAGTATGTCCTGTATCCTTTCAAACTTCTCTGAAATCAGTTACCATACACCTACCTTGTTAGAAGCATGGCCATCTTGTGCTTACTTATGGCCACAGGACTAGCGAAATTTCATTAAACTCATATTATTTTTTTTGGGGGGGTGACAGTTACATTTTTAACACAACATTATGCAGATGCTTCCCTCTAGATTGTAAACTTCATGGGAAGAGACACCACTGTTCCAAATAGTTTTTTTTTTTTAAATCACTTTGGGACTCTTATGAACTATCCAGGCCAAGTCCTAAACAGGTAGCATAGAAACTTATTTAACCAAAATAACAGCCATCTATAATGGGTATAAATTTTCTCCACTTTGCTCCTGGGGAAAACGAGGCACAGAAATAGGAATTATACATTTACTTTCACTTGTGATAAAACTCAGATTTTACCAGAGTCAGGTTTGGCTCAGTTGCACAAGATCTTTCTGGAAACATACTATTTAAATATTTTATTAAAATTTCAAACATGAACACTATATTCATATCACTTCACCCCTAACTCCCCCTCCAGTTCCCCCAATTTACCCATTTACTCTCAAATTCTTCTTTAGTAATTATTGTTGTATTTATTCTCTCTCTCTCTCTCTCTCTCT